TAGTTTATTTTTGGTATGGATTAGTCCTTTATGACCCAAAAGGTGATTTTTTTTTTTTTGGATCAAACATCATAATTTTATTAAAATTTGCGCTAACAGTAAAGTTACATCATCAAATGTACATAGATATCAAAGAAGAGATCTAAAGCATGGATATCCAAGATGTGAAATTGCAAAAGAAAAACTAAAGAACTGCCTTTGCTTTTCTACATCCCAAACAATTAAATACCATCAAACTGCAATAATGGTGCGAAATCGATGAATTGCAGAAGCCGGAGGATTGACGATAGCAAGGAATTTTTGAAGAACTATAAATTAACTGTCACATGTTTGGTGGCTTAGTTGAATGCATGCATGTCGGACTTTCCACCCACATTAAGTGAGAAAAACCTTATTATGTAGGAAGAATCTTAAGGAGAAAAATGGGAACTTGATAGCAAAATGGAAGGTTTAGATCCACTTATGCAATAAAAGCGGAATGAAGGAACCATACCGGACCCTACCGAATGGGAAAAGTTGTACACCATGTGCTGGCCTGTCTATATATCGTGCTACAGCCTGCCTTTTGTATTTTTTTTTGTTGGATACTATAGATTCTATATTAGACTTATTCCTACTCCATATCAAGGGAAGGGGATCGAAAGGGATCAAGAGAAAATCCAACGAGGACTGAACCACTATTGGTTTAGATGGGTGCCTACGCACTAGGAACTCCTACTCTATATTAGAGAGAGGGGAATCCAAAGGGGTCAAAAGGAAATCCGACGGAGGCTGAACCACTACTGAGTCAAACGGGTACTTACACAGCTGCTGGAGGAACATTCCAGAAAATTCTGAATATTAGAATATAGGCCGAGAGATCTGATCTCTTGACTTACACTCAAATAGAGTTTTAAAACTTTTTTTGTGGTCAACTACTAAGTTCTGTCTTTGTATACTTTTTCAAAAAAATTTTGTTAAGTATTAACATCACGTATGGAAGAAATGTAGTTTTGATTCTCAATATTTGATCTATGTATCAAACTAGTCCTCTTTAATATTCCAGACAAAATAAATTTGGTCCCCAAAATTAGTAATTATACACAAAAATTTAAGACAACTAAAAATCACAATAACTAATATGTACAATCAAATTGGATTTAGTTAAAAGTTTTGACTTCATATTTTTGGTTCCTAAATTTTTATGTTTCGATTGATATGGTTCCTAGGATTCAAATGCATGGTTAGGGTTTTCAAATAAAACAACATGTGAATTGAATTGAATATATGACAGATATGCTTCTAAATCGTACAAAATTTTCTAAAATTACTTCATAATAGCATAACACTATCCTTTAGTCTGAACAGCAATTGTATGTTAAATTAGTTACAATTGAACAACCATGCACAAATAATAAATAAGCATTATTATACCAATACACGAATATATGCAATATTTGTGGACGTGTGCTTCAAATTATTTTAATTACAAATTGTGATTACAATAGCTAATTAGAAATTCTTGTGGATGCGGGCTTCAAACGTTATTTTGATTGTTGCATGAAATTGGGTCGTCTCCACCTTAAATAGACAACCAAACCGATTAATGGTGCAATCTACTATCATCATTGCTATTGTAATTAATGTAAAAATACAGTGATTAGTGATATTTCTAATATTACTATAAGGATATTTAAGAAAAATATAATATTAAATTTATTTTTCAAACAAAGTTAACTAATTTTTTTATACTGTATTAAGAAAAAAGACTATTAAAGTGGGACACGGGAAGTAAAACATAGCATACAAGAAAGTCGCAAAAATTAAATTAAATATTACAAAAAAGAAAACAACACACACACACACATACGTCTTGTGCGTACCTGATCCGTAAGAGGGTCAGAGATTGTTGTTACACAGTGCTTCTAAAAAGTCAAAAACACTAAATTATATAATAACAAAACTCTCATCCTAGTGCTCTAGCCAAGTATTAATTCTTGAGTCTATAATATATTAATATCACATCCTGACTTTAAGACCAGAATTATGGTGACTCAGGAATATGAAGGCCTTTTTAATTTAGCAAGTTGTAATGGAATATCTAATTTGATACTACATACCGGAGAATATTCCATGCATCTTTGAATAAAATGGAATAAATTGTCGATGGATAGATTATAATAAGATGCAGTCAACTATTCAATCATTTCAGCGTATCAACACAAATAAATGAGACCACGTTAGCTTCATAAACTGCTGTGTTTACAGCAGCTTGAAGTCAACCATTGTTGACTATTTCATTTGCTTGGAACACCAAAATTCTTGGCAAAATGTCAAACTTCAACAGATAAACCAAACAAAAAGAATATTATCCGTTCAAGAAAGATATTATTGATTTGATGGTTCAATTATCTTGGACACCTTTGCCCGTTATTTTTTTTTTGGTCAAAAAAAAGACCTGGCCCCACTTCAGGCCCCAACCCTTATTCGGATTGTCGGATTATTCCCCATTTTTGTTACAAGGCTCGAATACTGGATCTCAAGTGTACAACTCTTAGTGAGACCAGTTCGACTGCCTTGGAAGGGCCTTTGCCCGTTAGAGTAGTTGAGAAACTGAAAAAATTGTTTATATAGATACATGTAGTTGAACATCAATTTCGAAAATCTTTCTCACAAAAATAAAGAATTGATCAACTTCAAAAGTTTCATTTGTTGGACCTAATTCATAAGTGATTCCATTTTAATTTCTTGAGCCATAAATATATTATTGTATCATCTTTTTTTCCTATCACCACAATATTAGAAAAATTATCTGTTTAGTCCTTCATCTTTGGGATATGGTCCAATTTAGTTTCTTCCCTGTCATAATTAATCAACTTAATCTTTGTTTTAACAAAACATGGCTAATGTAGAACTTTTTAATGTCAAGTTAGAGGATGCTGATAGAACTAGTCACCTGACATTGTAAAGAAACGAGGGGTGAAAAAAGATCAAAGAAACAAAGCTCTAAATTATCTCAGTCTCGTAGTTTCTCATCCACATTTTCCTAGTTGGAGAACAAATAAATCCCAAGCTGCAATGTTTTCCAAAATCTTAAATCACAAGCCCTAGTCCGCAATCAAATTTCGACAAATTGAAGTCGTTAAACCCTTATCTAGAAGACTGGAGAATTTTCACATGCATGCAAGTGCCAAAGAATCCAAGAGTATAGAAGATAGAAGTCTACAAGTAATAGTCTTTAGAATCTTGATCTAGAATAATAATTTCTACAAGCTCCAAAGGGATAAAAGTATGGAGAAAACAAGAGCATAGCACATGGCAAGCCATTTAGCAAAGACAATTAATTAACTAATCCGTCCTGCCGACATAAGTGTATGATTTATGAATAGTTAAGCCTTTCCATTTCCTTGCTACAACAGACAATTTGGTGGTTTTTAAATGTGTTTTGGGTTTAAGATTCAAAAGAAAAAAAATGTTAGAAAGAAAAGTCTACAAGTCCCATTGGCTATGATATCATTCAATATGTCTGTTGGTACTTAATTGAAAGAAACTGCACTTTAAGCTTGCAAAATAATATAATAGTTTGAAAAATAAAATTGGTTTGTTCATCATTAGATGCACTTCAATAATGCAAGGAGAATAATCTAATATGAACAGTTGAGAGCCAAAAAAAAGTGAATAAACACAATTGATAACAATTAACAACCGAAAAAAGTATAAGCAAAGAGATCTAAATAGACCTCATTAGGGTGTAAAAAAAATAAACTGTTGATAGGAAACCGTATTACATATTTGATAGCTCTAAATAGATCTCATTAGGGCGTAAAAAATAAAATTAAAGATGAGCCGTGAAACAAAACATGCATGCAGCGAAAAAGAAAAGAAAAGGTAGAATTCATAAAAATCATATTTGATGGGATTTTTTTTTCAGATTTAAATATATAGGATAAACCCCATATTTTTTCCTTTGACAATCTTAGGGCGGGGGAGAGAGGAGAGGAGGGAGGAAGGAGGAGAGGGGGAAAGAGAAAGAGAGAGGAAAAAAATGATGGAGGGTGACCTGCGCCGGCATAAAGCTGCCGCGGCGGTAGGCTGAGTTACAATTGGTTAGGGACGATGGCAGTAGAAGAGGAATTAAATGTGTCGGATATTTTAAGATGTGTATTTTAAAAAATTAGTATATTTTTTAAGGGTTCGTGTAACAAAAGTGTTGTTAAAAAAACTTGTTTAATAAAACCAGAGGAAAAACAAAGGTGCCAAACAAGCACGATCCTCCAGAAAATTAAAAAAAAAAAATTACTCCACTCAAATGGCCACACGTGAACCAATCTGACAAATCCTAATTAGAATCAAACGTATTGAACTATGCAATTAATATAATGGTCACTAATCTAATCACCATCTTAATTAATTTACCACAAATGAAATACATTCCGTTCACTCCAAATTCCAAAAGGACAGTCCGCTTCATCCCCACTCTCCTAATCCACGCGTGACTTCACACTCCCCGAGTCGCCTCCTCCTTTTTGGCTTTTTATGGTAGACCTTTTACTCCTCTGTACTTCGCGTTTCCTCCTAATCGGCGGCTTTTTCCAAAAATCAAACTTTGCTTTTTCTTGGGCCTCAGGCTCAATCAATCTCAACCGTCCATCAAACCACACAAAATTCAAACGTAGAATCCTACCGACCAGCTCGGCCCGAACTATATATATAGCGGAGTATAACTTTGCCGACCAATTGGGTCGGACTCGGACCTTGGAGGGGCCTCTATAAACCTCTCCATTCAGCCGGCTCTTGTCTCCTTTTTTCAACTAACGAAAGCGCTTCTCTTCTTCCTCTTTCCTCTAAAAGAGAATTATTCATTGTCTTTGAGCCAGGCCTCTGCTTTTGGCCTGCTTTATTTCTGGTAGGTTGCTAATTTTCTTTTTTATTTCCTTTAATTCTGCATTTTTGTTTCAGATTTGGCCTAAAAATTTGTTCTTTTTTCCTTTGGGGTTTTTCTTTTTTTGATCTGGGTTTTGCATTTGGATTTCTGGGTTTTTCTTTCTTTCTTTCTTTTTTTTTTTGTGTGTGATGAAAGTTCAAGAAATGATCTTTTTGGGATATTGGTCAATAGTAGGATGGGAGGGCTGGAAAATGCATTCTTGACAATCCATGGAATTTAGGATTCGAATAGAAGGAATGAGTGATGGGGAAGAAATTTGAAAAAGAAGAAGAATATTCCATTGGAATTTAAAGTTGACTTTCCCAGCTTTGAGCTGTTTCTTCTTTTAATCTTGTACAAGGTTTTGGCCAGCCAAATTTCAAGTTCTGATCTTTCCTGGAATTGACAAAACAAAAGTATTCATAATTTCAGAAAGTTCATCTACATAACTCTTGAGGGGATTTAATGGTAGATGGAAAACTATGATCGCATTTGCATTAGTGATTCTTGTTAGTTTTTTTTATTATCAGGAAGTTGGTAAAGTTAAAATTGTTTTATTTTTGTTTGGGGCATGATTTGTGTACTAATGGTCTGGTGTGTTTGGTGCTTGGAAATGGGTTCTTGTTATTTGCAAGGTTAAGATGGTTTTGATGATATGTTGTAGTGAAGCCTAGGCGCTAGGCGATTGTCTAGTGGTGTGCTTCCTCTGCCTGCCGTGTTGTTCTGCTTCGAGTTTTAAGTAAATGGGCTGTTTTCAATCAACTGCGAGGAAACAGTTTCCTGGATATGAAGATCCGATAACTCTTGCTTCACAAACAGCTTGTAAGTTGATTCATGATTGATTTGTAATTGTAAGGTTAATTGGCTCTTTTTATGTTCTCCCTTTAGTTGATTGTTTCATTTGCTAGTAAGAAACGTTATAATCCTTGCATTGCTTTTCTTTTTTTATTTTTCTGGAGAAGATGAAGAGCAGTAGCCGGAGGATCTCAATTTTTAACTACAGCTCTATATTTGCTTATTTTACCTCTTTCAGAACATATTTAATATGACTGGATTTTGTTTTGCTTAAATATAGCTTCAGCTTCCTTTGAAGTTTTCTTTTTTATCTTTTTTGGGAGGGGGCGGGGGGAAGAGAGAGAGAGAGGTAATTGAGTGTATTACAAAGACTGTGTTGAAGTCAACATTGAAACATAGTTTAGGAGTGTATGCTGAATTAATCTGTAACTTTTTTTTTAATTGGTAAAGTTTGATCTAGCTTAGGAGCTCCTTATTCAGACGTGGATAGAAATGACAGCATTCCCTAAATCTCCTTTCTATGGGTATAATGTTTAACTAGTTATATCTTTGCTTCTTCGTTTACAGTCATTTTCTTTGGGCATGTTGGTGATTTTTTATTTTATTTTTATTTTCGTTGAGTACAGAGATTAAGACGCAAGTCTTTTCATTGCTTTTTCAGTTACTGTTAGTGAAGTTGAAGCATTGTTTGAGCTATTCAAGAGCATTAGCAGTTCTGTGATTGATGATGGGCTGATAAATAAGGTAATTTTATAAAAATTTGAGAAGCACCTTATTCATACAGTTTAGGGGCTATTGTTAAGGCTATATGTAGTGGCTTCATTCTACCGGTACACTTCTGGTTCTTAAGTGCTTAAGAGTTATAAAGGAGTATGCGAAGGGGTTTCAGTCTAAAATGACATTGAAATTTTGGATATGCAGGAAGAATTTCAATTGGCATTGTTCAAGAACAGGAAGAAAGAAAATCTTTTTGCTAATAGGGTAAGAATTTTCAGAATGTTTTGATCAATTTGAAATCTGGTTCGACCTCTGACGGTTACTTTGGGTGATTTGAATCCATGTCTGTGTTATTGATCTTGTCAAATCATCCTGAAATATGCATGTATACTGAAACTGCTGTAATCCAAATTGGCAAACTAATTTAGCTGGGCTGTTATTCATCATGTTTTATGTTGTTTAACAAATTTATTCTATCATGTTTCTTTCGTTGTGATCTGGAATGTTTGGTGTACCATAGTCGCTTCATTTTCCGTGTGCAGATTGCATATGTGGGGGGTCTACAGGTTAATACACTTTAAATTCTTGGCAGCAAAAGATGCATTTTAATTGATTCTTCCCTCCCAAAGAAATGCTTTTTTCCTAGGCAAGCTTTGTGTACTGTTTTATGACTGGTTAATTCTGTGCAAATTATCTACCTGACTTCCATCAAAGCTGATTGCTCATTAAAATGAGGGAATTGCTTTGCTAACTTGCAACACTGCTCGGACCAGATACCCTTTCATGGAGAAGCTGTTTCTTTCTGTGCCTAGTCTACTTCTATTTCTACATGCAACATAGTTGCAATAAGAAGTAGAGTTCAAATGCCAGATTTGAGGTACTGGTTCATGGGCAGGAGTTAGATGTTTGGGAATTGGACCAAATTTAAACATGCAAAGCTGTATTGAGGAATGTATTTGTAGATTGTTCAAGTTTGAAAATCCTTTTTTATCCTCAAAATGCAGCAGTAATGTCTGCCTTGTTGCATCGGTATTTCCCAGAAGGTTCTTCTTTAGCAAGAAATTCTGGCTTTTGTGTGCAACCCATGTGCATGGATATGGTAAATGTGTGAAAGGACACTTGCAATTTAAATATAGCATGGATGTTGCAAGCTTTTGTGGCTTCCGTTTCCATGTGCCTGTTGTTGCCTACCCATCTCTGCAATTTTGCATGCTAATGGTGTGACAAATTTCAATTGCAGATTTTTGAGCTCTTTGATGTGAAGCATAAAGGTGTTATTGATTTTGGTGACTTTGTCAGATCACTCAATGTTTTCCACCCGAATGCTGCACAGGATGATAAAATTAATTGTAAGTTCAGCAATTCTGAAAACTATTTCATTCATTAGGTATTTATAAGATAAAGAAGAATTGCATTCTGTGAATATTTACCAAGGCATACTTTGTTGTGACATTGCAGTTTCATTTAAGCTTTATGATTTGGATGACACGGGATATATTGAACGACAAGAGGTATGTGTTTCTTAATTTTAAAGTCAAATCTGTCCATGAGATCTGAACAACTTGTGTCCATGTCGTGTATTTATTCTTTCAATGTAGTCTTTATGAAGGCTTCTTTATAGTCTGTGAATTTTGCAGGTTAAGCAAATGCTAATTGCTCTTTTGTGCGAGTCCGAGATGAAGTTGGCTGATGAAACTATTGAGATCATATTGGATAAGGTAAGTTTACAACATTTATGTACAACTTATTTGGTTGTGCTTTGTGTCAAGTGCTTTAGGGTGGGCAAGTGTTCTTGCCTGTGATGCTTGCCTCGGGTGCTTGGATGCGTCATAATGGGTTCTTATGTAAAAAATGTTATTCTTTCCTGTTTAGAGTATTTCTCTTCCTCTCAAAGATGTTCACGCAATTATCTATCCTGTCCCCTTAAATGTTCAGATCTCTGTTTTTGAAAGTCCCAAAATATGTATCCACTTGGAAAAAGTGAAATGCATGATTACTATCTTCTTCTGAGTCTCTTCATCTGTCTCCATCTATTAGTTACAACTTTTGCGACAAACTATTCAAAATTAGAATGTTGGGAAAAGTTAGATTTTTTAGGGCTAATTTGAATGTTCTCATACATTAATACCTTTGGCTGTTTTTACTGAAGTATTCTATATTTTAAACTGATAAATCCTTACTCCCTCCCCCACCAAAAAACCAACCCCAAAAACTCTCTTTTTACTTGTTGGAGTTTGAAGTAGGTAGCGTAGTTGTATATGGTCATTAAATACCATAGAAGCGTGTGGCTATTCATAGTAGCATAAGGTTCAGAGGAATGTGCCGTGTGTAAAAAATATCATCTCATTGTTGGATAAGGTCGAATATATTCTTTTGAATCACAATATTGCCTAACTTGTCCGATATTTATGGAAAGAATGATGGTATATGAATATGATAGAGGGGCTTGCTTTTGACGGCTTAAAAGTAAGTTATAATTAGATTATTTCAAGTTGAAACAGCAGGTAGTACTGAACATGTGTTGAAAAATTTGTGCATTTTTTGTTTATCATGATTTGAAAAGCTAAATTCACAAACAACCCAATGCCTGATTTTCAATATCTGTATTTTCCATTTTCGACAAAGCTGCTGATACTTAGAGAGAGAGAGAGAGAGAGAGAGGCTGCTTATAGCTTTTTATAAGCTGTTGACAATAGGCCTAAATCTTATCTCCCAACTTTTACCTGATCTTTGTTTATGTTCTGGTTTTCCTCTGGTGAGTTTTACTGCAGAAATAATACTCAGCAGTTTGCTGATAATTTTTGAACAGACATTCAATGAAGCTGATCCAGACCGGGATGGTAAGATAGATAAATCTGAATGGCACAACTTCGTGACCAGAAACCCTTCCTTGCTCAAGATAATGACACTCCCTTACTTGAGGTAACTTGTGTTAACCTTCTTGTTTGCACCCAAATGCCTATGATTTCAGATGTTTGACTGTATTATTTATTTGACTAAATGCAGGGATATAACTACTACGTTCCCAAGTTTTGTGTTTCATTCTGAGGTTGACGAGATTGCTACGTAGTTAGGGCACGATCCTTTTTAGCACTCTAGTGTTCCTTGTTCGCCAGTTATTTTAAGTTGCGACTCACTAGGAGCAGCCATTTGTATGATGGAGGAGGGTTCAGTCGATACCAGTGATGCCTTATTTGACTGAGATGGTTGTGCCATTGTTCAGCGATTCATTGTTCAGCTATTCACTGTATATTGTGTTCTGAATGGAATTTTGTAGCCTGATTTACTGTTAATGGAGTTCACTGATAATAATATGCTTGTTGATTTTTTTCTTTTAAACAGTGAAGGACACATCTTTCTTTCTTACTTTTTTTGTTTGTTTGTTTGTTTTACTTGATGCATTAATCAGCCAATTTCACTTTCAACTCCTTCCCATGCAACAAAATACAAATCCTTCACTAATGGAGAGCAAAATGTTTCCAAACCATGCATCATGGTCTACATAAAAAGTGAGTTTTATTTTTAGTGCATATGCATCTTGATGCATCGTAAGGAGAGTAATATGTTTTGTTTGCTAATGTAATTCTGTTTTACTTCTTCGAAATACAAGAGAGCTAAGATTTAATTCAGTTTTATTTCTTCGCCGAGGTTAGATCAAACGAATCTAATTGTTTGTTAGTTTAGCTCGTTTAGGCCTGTTCATGTTTGATAATAGCTCATTCAAAATTTTATATAAATCGAGTTCCAACAAATATTTTAACTCAATTAAGTAATTGAACGAACATAAACTCGTTAGTGAATTTAAACGATATGGGTCTAATTGTTATTTCACAAAATTTATGATTAATATGTATTCTTGATTTCTAATTTCAAGTTTAATTGTTCACGAACATAGACCTAATTGTTCGCAAACGGCTCATTTATATTAAACAAATTGAACTCGAACTCGAATTCAAAGTAGAATTTTGCTTAATAAGCCAAATATGAACATAGATTTGGAGCTGGAATATTATCTAACGAACACCGAACAACAAAACTCAAACATGAGACGCTGAACTCGTTTACAGCTCTACCTATATATATACTCAATCCTATTCCACAAATTAACTAGTTGAATATAACAATTTAGTTACAGTTTGACCCTATATCATTAGTCAACCACTTGAATATATTAATATAGTTAGGGTAGAGAATTCACTTTCACATTTTAACTACAAAACACTTTACCCTCCGTGGGCGTGGGTGCATTGCATGGAGACTATTACTATTACACTCTCTAATGGCAGGTTTATGAAGACACAATATATACCCATTTAACTCCGAAGTCATTCCAGTTGTACCATTGGCAGCACATTACAAACACAAAATACAACATTTGGGAGACAAATGTGCCATTAATTATTTGTTGTCTGTTTTCCGGAGTTCCCTCAAATATTACGGATAGATGATCACTCTGCTTCGTGGCTACTCATAGCCCTTTTGACAAATCCACATCAACTGAAGACTCGCCGCAGCTGCACAACTAGTTCTGATCGGTAAATGGGCTCACTTTTTCTATCATTTACATTATACTGTAATGGGCAAAATATTCTGTCTTTCATGTCTTACTTAATGTCACTTCCTGTTTGTTTAAATGCTTCAATGAAGAGCGACCCCCTGTTCTTCACTGTGTTTTGGAATTATGACATATTTCGAACTCTTACTTGATCTGGGTTGTTTTTATTCTTCACAATCTGCCAAAATATTGGCTTTCATATTGTATTGTGGTATTACAGTTTTAACCTTGGACCCTGAACTTTGATCAGTATGCAGCTTTGATTATCAAATATTTGGGTAGTGGTGAAACATTAAAAAGAGTTCTTCTCTTTATGGATTTAAAGAATTTTCAGCGCAAGGATTTTCAGTTAGTTTTCACCTTTATAAGGGGCTAACATTTCTGGACGAGATATTCATTTTGCTTTCTTTTAGAAAGCCTTTGAGCTGAAATATAGTTAAAATTTAATATATCCAGTAGAAGTCCTTTTTTTTTGTTTTGGGGGTGGGTGGGGGTAGGGGGGACTTACTAATAAAAATCTGGCATCCTGGCTGAATTTTGTGGATAGGCTTTTTTGTTTTCTCGTGGAAAAGCAGGCCAAGTTGCCAGTCTTGCATAGTGGAGGCAGTTAATTATAGTTCATGGGTTTGAATTTGGCAGTTTCATTTCTGCAGGAACGTTCTGTTTTCAGATGATTTTTTTTTTTCTGTAAATGGCACAATGTCGCCAGAAGGCAATTCTGTTACGTCCCTTCTTGATCAAGAGCTATTGGTCCGTCATTGGCATTGCCTCAAACACTAGCTTAAAGTCCGTCTTTCACAGATATTATGCTTCAAGCAATAAAGTGGATGAGGATGGACTGTTAAATGCATGTGATAATCTTACCAAAAGCTTGGCTTTCAAAGATTCTTCTACTTGTATAAAGCCAGCGAAGCTAGGCTGGGAAGGATCTTCTCATGCAATCCTGTTAGAAAAGCTTGAAAATGTATTGAAGGATCATCAGGTGGATGAAGCTTGGGAAACTTACAAGGATTTCAAACGCCTGTATGGCTTTCCTGAAGACTCCATCATGAGGCAATTGATAACTGAATTCTCCTATTCTTTGGATTTCACATGGCTTTGTAGGGCATTTGATATAGTCTTGTCGATGTCAAAAGAGAAATCTGCATTACCTAGGCTGGATGTAATGACTAAGCTCTGCCTTTCCTTAGCAAGGGCTCAAATACCTTCCCCGACTTCTGTGATTCTTAGACTGATGCTACAGAAAAATTGCTTCCCACCATTGGATATACTAGGGTCGGTGTTTCTCCATATGGTGAAGACAGAAATGGGAGCAATTCTGGCAGCAAATATCTTGACTGAGATTTGTGATCTTTATGAGCAATTAAATGAAAGCAAATCTAACTTTGCAAAGATGATAAAACCAGATACAATGCTATTTAACCTTATTCTGGATGCTTGTATTAGATATCAATCATCTCTCAAGGGTCAGCAGATCATAGAGTTGATGGCTGAAGTTGGAGTGGTGGCTGATGCTCACAGTATTGTGATTATTGCTCAGATTTATGAGATGAATTGTATGAGGGATGAGTTGAAAAAATATAAGAGACATATCGATGTTGTTTCAGCTTCTTTGGTTTCCCATTATCGACAGTTCTATGATAGTTTGCTGAGCTTGCATTTCATTTTCAATGACATTGATGCTGCTTCTGCACTCATAAAGGATATGTATCAGCACGGAGAATCTAATCCTGCTCGGGAAGCAAGGAAGGAATCTTGTACTATCCCAATTGGCTCTCCCAATCTTAAGATGGGTTTGAAACTACATATTCTACCAGAACTTCTTCAGAAGGATACCGTAATCAAAATGGAAGGAAAGCCAAAGCTTGTTTTGAGTAAGAATGGAAAACTTGTCCTCAGCAGCAATGCGGTAACAAAACTGATGAGGGAATATAAGAGATGTGAGAGAATAAATGAACTTTCAACGCTTCTTAATTACATTCAAAGTAAACTGGGTTCCTCAGACTCTCATAACTTGTGTCATGATGTCATTGATGCTTGTATTCATTTGGGATGGCTGCAGACAGCTCATGACATTTTGGATGACTTGGAATCAGAAGGCAGTTCCCTGGGCCAAGGTTCATATGTGTCCTTGTTGACTGCATATTACAACAGAAAAATGTTTGAGGAAGGAGACGCACTAGTTAAACAAATTAGGAAAGCTGGTATGTTGACAAATCTATATAATGAGCTGCCTATCCCCAGACATGGATTAGAGTTGGAGGATGAAAGCACCTTGAATTTTGAAAAAGTAAGAGTAGCAGGGAAATCAGACTTGGTTGAGGCTATCATCCATGACATTAAAAAAGAGGCCAAATCAATTCCACCTTCTACCGTGATTCATGAGTTAAATTCATCTATCTATTTCTTTATGAAGGCCAAAATGATTGGGGATGCCATGAAGACATACCGAAGAATGCAAGAGATGAAGATTCAGCCTACTGTATTGACTTTTGCCTATCTAATAAGTGGGTATTCTTCTCTGGGAATGTATCGCGAAATCACCATTTTATGGGGTGATATCAAGAGGAACTTGGAGAAAAGTAATTCAATGGTTCACAGGGATCTATACGAGTCATTGTTGTTGAACTTTATACGTGGAGGTTATTTTGAGAGAGTACTGGAGGTCATTGCTTTTATGACACAGAACCGGATGTACCTGGACAAGTGGGTTTGCAAATGTGAATTCTTGAAGTTTCACAAGGATCTTTACAGGAGCTTAAAAGCATCAAATGCGAGAAATGAGGTTCAGATGAAGAGGCTTGAGCACGTGCGGGCATTCAGAAATTGGATTCGCATCAATTAGATTTATGTGGATGGTGTAAGAACTTGATATCTTTGAAAGCAGGCTTTTATTTCCACTTGTTTAAGCCATGAACTCAACATATAGAGCTTGAACCTAGTTGGTACCGTATAGTAGTATTATCGGCTATGTCTCAATTGCTGCAGATTTTGGTGCATTAGACACACTGGAAGTGTAGTTGACTGAACCTTTCATAGTACATCAATGAAACTGATTGGGTCTTTTATGCCGTGCACTGTGACTTTCAAAATTCGTGTTGACATGTATGATCTGTGACTACATCAATGAAATAGATTCTGTCTTTCAATCGGCAGCACGAGACTTCCAAATTCTTTCTGGCACATCCATAGTTACATTTGCTTATCCACGTATTGGTTAATAAAAAGGCATGGTTATTACCAACAAAAAAAAAAAAGGGTATAGTCAATACAATAGCATTTGCTAGTGCATATTTTCACTAGAGACTTCAGAATAAGCCAACGAGGAAAAAGCGTTACTGATTTGAAGGTCTGATGGAAGCTTTGAAGGTCTGACGTGTAGGGGTGTCAATGGGTTGAGTTCGAGTCGAAATTGAAGCCTTGTTTGGATTGCCGGTTCCGTCGAAAAATTACGTCGTTTTCCGTGATCACATTTCTCTATTACCTTTTTCCTTCACATACATCAAATCGCTACAGTAATTTTCCATGAAAAATCATGGAAAATGCAATCCAAACACAACCGAAAATTTTGAATCCAAACCCATTTTTATGTAGTAGATTCGGATTCGACTCGTATATCGGACGGGTCTTGACTTTAGAGTCCCAGATCCGGGTTCGACGGATTCAGGTTGGATCCGGATTGGTCCGGATCTAAAAGGCTCAAATTTAAATATTCGTAAATTAAATTCAAAACCAATCACAAATCCAATTTCTAAACTTAAACAAATCAAATTACAAAATTAAATCACAAATAACTCGCAATAGCCAATCCAAAACTAACCATAAATTAATCTACTAAGTCATTATTAAATTGTTAATTTAGTGAAAGAATGTATTTAGAAATATTTATATTTTATAATTATTCATATATATTGTTCAGATTCGGGTCGAATATAGGTCGGAATCCTATATTTCGTATTTGACCTGTTTTTATTAGAGTAAACGGATCCAAATCCGGATCCGAGTATTGGAATTATTTTTCAATCCAACCCCGAAAAAATTTATACCCGACCCTTTGACGCCCTTATTGACGTGCATATTCTGATTCTTAGTTAGAGGGTTAATTGTCAGTTTATTCTGTTATTGGTCTAGTGAAGTGAATATTTGCATTTCTTTTTCAACGGTAGTTTTTTAACTAATCTATTCGATCCCTGAATTAAACTCATTTTGGTGATAGCTCCTTCTTTGGATAATTCATTCGAAATAAACATTCATGTTCATTAAGTTTATAAACTCACTTGGAAATCTGATGGACTTATCTACTATTCAAGTTTGGTAAAAACTCAAGCTCATGTTAAAACCTATATGGTCTTAGTAGGGCAAAAAAAAAAAAAAAATTTAAACTCTTAGAAAAAAAAATTCACCTACATCTCTACGTCTATCCAATATATAAAGCCAAAGCTTTATCATTTTTTGAACTTTCGATTATATCCTTATAAAATCTAATTTTTAACTTAATTTTTGTAACTAGCAAATTATTATATAGCCTTATAAATCAAAGCTCTTTAATTAATTTATATAAATTGTATTTATGTGAAAAATAAAATTCATATAATATTAATCGATTTTAATTATTTTCAAATTACACACACATTGAGTGTGCCCTTAATGCTAATATTAGTAACTTAAGACCAACGTTAACAAGTAAACTTTTCAGCCAAAAAAAAAAAGAAGGAAAAGAAAACCATTAAATTTGGTTCAATAAATGCTCAAGCTCATTTGCTTGAGCTCGAGATTATAGTAAAATTAAGATTAAAAAAATTTAAAACTCGTCAAAAAATCCATCTAGAAATTGGTAACTCAAGAGCCATATTAACAAATAAAAGTTTTTTTTTTAAAAAAAAAAAACCAAAAAGAAAAGAAAACCATAACTTAAAGAAGAGGGATCTGGCAGCGGAAGGAAAAGTTGTTTCTACTGCTCACTGGTTTCATAGAATCTTTTCGGTCTCTCCTTTGCACTCAACTCAACAGTCACAGAACAACCTGTAATGGACTTTGCACAGCAGGCAATGAACTTAATCGGCGAGGAAGACGATGACGACGACCAAAACTGCCGAAACGACGACGTCGAGGAAGACGAAGAACACCAACAAAAACAAGCCCGCCAATCATCGTCTTCCTCCGGGGCCTCATCCTCCGGCGCCTCATCCTCCGCCTCCTCCTCCGCCGGCGCCTCCTCATCGGCCGCCTCGTCTTCTCGGTCGTCGTCGTCTAATCACAGCAGAAGCAGCAGCGCAAGCGAAGAAGATAACGAGAACGATGGCGGAGAAGTGAGGTCGCGGGATAACAGTAATATTAATCATAATAGGAGTAGTGATACGAATTATAATAATGATGGTAAAGAAAATTATTATGAGAATTTGGATGAGGAGGAAGATGACAAGGATCTTTTTGGGTCGGATAACGAGGATTATGGAAAAACCCCTGTTAATAGTCCCTACCCAGTTCCTGGTAATTTTTCCTTTTTTATGTTAGTATTTTTTTACACCCTTTGCATCAGTAAATTTGTTTGGTTTATTGGTAGCTGATAAGTTGATCTTGGGCATCTTCTGCAAATTTTGTCTGGAGTGTGTGTGTGTGTGTGTGTGTGTGTGTGTTTGTGGTTTGATTGGTTTTTGGAAGATTTTGGTAGGGTTTTTGAGTGTTGGACCTTGTGATGGATTAAAGTTGAGATTTTGGACTGTTTCTGCTGTTGGGGTCTTCATTTTTGAGTGTTTACATCAGTTGGGTTGTACATTGAGCTGGGAAAGTGCATGCCTTTCTCTTTTCGCTTGGGTCTTTTTGGGATGCGATGGACGGGTCTGGCAGCATAATCTGGTGTACAAGTGAATGTTCCGCTAGATGAGTTTGGCTGCATATTCTGGTTTATTGGCTGGATAATATGACGTTTGGATAATATGACGTATGCAGCTTCTGCATTCAATACTGTTGGATTTTTTTTTTCTTTTTTGGGTGGGACAGGGTGGCCAACTGAGAGCGCGATCCTAGTTGCAAGACTTCTTTTGTGAATTTGCTATCTAAAATACTGTATGATTGCGAGCTTTCTCTAGTTGTATGCATGCCAGCTATTATTATCAACTCCCTATTTGGTTATTTGATTGCTGTGATCTTTTTGATGATCGGCTAAAATATATTCAAGTTTGCGAGTTTGTGATCTTATTGGCGGGTTTTTTTTCGCGATGCAAAATACAGATTGCATCTCTTTAAGTTGTATTACTTTTGTTAGCTATCAAAGTTCTGCTGTTTTTATCAACTTCGTGTTTGGTTCTTTGACTGCTGTGGTTGGTTTGATGGTTGGCTAAAATATATCTGAAGTTGTATTGCTCAAGATCAAGTTAAGAGCTTTATCTGTGTTCTGGAAATTGGGGCTTTTAGCAGAACTCTTTATCATTCAATAATTGGATTTACAATGTATGATGAGCGGATTGGTGCATTGGCATCAAAATTGTTGCAATCCTAAGTATTTATAATGTATTCTGCTGATTTTAGGAATGCATTTAATCTGCTATCTTATGTGTGATTAGGAAAATCTGAATTTGTTTTGAGCCAGCATTATGGTTTTGATCTCTCCATCAGTCTCTCTCCTTCCTCTAATCCCCAAGGCCCCTATCATGCTGTCTTGTCAAAGTTGAAAAAGGCAAACATGGACATGCTTGGAAAATTCGAAAAGAAGAATAATAAGTTCAATGATGTTCTAGATGGTTATTACTCAATTTCCTAATGTGCAGTTTTGCCTGCAATACGTAATACTAACAACCATATGAGAGGGGGTTTTGGACGTGGCCGTTGGCAGCACAACAACCGAGGACCTGGTCTGCTTCCTCGACCTGGGCCTTATCCTCAAAGACCCAACTTTGGTGGCCCAAAGTTCTTTAATGCCCCTCGTGATGAACGCTTCGTTTCTGAGTTAAAATTTTCAAAGAGTGAACAAACATTAGCAAGAAAATGCATAGCATTTCAGGAGGTAATTTAACTTTCCTTCTTTAGTGTCGTCAAGTTTTCTTGGTTTGAAGTGCTCTGGTTCTGAGAATAGAAACATATAACTTCGATTTCTGTTAGTTGTTTTGTGGACATTAATATCTGGATTTGGCCATGTTAAGATGCTTGCCCTTCTAATCAATTTGTTTTATCCCTATTTGTCTGCCATTCCCAGCTTGAGATCCAGTGAAATAAATTGGGAGAAGAGTTGTATGCCCTTCTTTCGCGCGTTATATGAAACGAGATTATCTGATTGGTTTTGTTCTTTGTCTGATTTTGTGATTAAATATAGCCTTGCGAGCTGGCTTGCTATAGTCGCATAGAAGGTGGGGATGTCTTCTTTGATGACCGTAGTTTGGTAAACCTCTCTTTTGACAGTTTTAATTTTTTCTTAGCAGTAGGTCTGATTTTGAATATTTGATGATGATGTTTAGCTGATGTAAATTGCTTCTTTCTTGACAATTTTCAGAGACTATTTAAGCGTGTCATTACTCAAGATATTGGGTTTGACCTGAATGAAGGTTTTGATACTTTCATTCCAAAGAAAGGTTAGCTTACAAGGAAATGTGTATAACATGGAAATTTTTTATCATAAGATTCAAACCGCTGGAGATATCTTTTAGGATTGGTAACATTTATGCGCTGCCAATAATTGATGCTTGATATGTGATGGTATTGTTCCAGATCTAGGCTCTGAGGGCTTTGGTGATCTTCTGGCTTGCATAAGAAGTAAAAACATACCACTTCAAAACATGCACTTTGTGGTGAGAAATCTGCACTTAGTCAAGCATTTTATTGCAAATATACTTCAAAGGCAGAAAACATAATGTGTTCCCTTCTCTTTTTCTTGTGGCAGACGTATCGCAACAACCTTAATAAGGTAAGTAGTTATTTTTAGTAGCTGATTAAAATACTATTCCTACTACTCAAAA